GGTCTTGGGTGCTCTCTGAGCTTGCTTGCTTTCTTGCAGACGTTTCATTACACAAACCAGGTAACATCATCAGTGCTAGAAGCGAGTGGGGTTTGCAGAGATAAGAGGGAGGGAGGAGACGGAGGAGGAGGAGGAGGAGGACTGTGGAGTTCTTGCTGCTCTCTGAGCTTGGTTGTTTTCTTGCAGACATTTCATGAGCCAACTACATAACACCATCATTGCTAGAAGGAAGGAGGGTTTGCAGAACGGAGGAGAAGGAGGAGGAAGAGGGGGAGGTGAAGGACTATGGGGTCTTTGGTGCTCTCTGTGCTTAGTGGTGTTCTTGCAGACGTTTCATGACCCAACTAGGTAACACCATCAGTGCTAGAAGGGAGTGGGGCTTGCAGAGATAAGGAGGACATTGCTCAGATAATTCCTTCCAATCCAATTTGAGTCTTTAATAGAAGATTGCCAGTTTTGATGCCCGAAGTCTCCATATTTTGCTAAGACTTTAGAAAATACAGAGAGGATTGGGTTGATTGTACATCACCAGAAGCCACAAATCCTGATTTATAGGCCAGGATGGCAAGGTTCATGAACGCAGAAATCCCAAACAAAACCCACTGTAGCAAGGAAGAATAAATGATGCCCAAATGCTGAGTGCCAGCAGAATCAATTGGCAGAAATATGCAGAATGCTGCATATAATTCTTCTCAGCCCTGAAGCTGCTTCAGAAAGAAAATTGCAAGGGCTGCATTTGACGGCGTGCGCCATGGGATGAGAGGCAGGCAGCGAAACAGAGAGAAAAACAAAACAAGTTGTTGTTATTATTATTATTTTCCAGGCTAAAACATTGACAAACGCTCCCTGCTCCTAATCGTATAACAGTGATAGAAGGACTAAGGTTTTCCAACTTCTGTGTAACTGGGGGCACCCAGGGGAAGCCCGGAAGAGCTAGTGAAAGCACCAGAAAAAATAATAATAATGAGGCCTGCAAGGTTCAAAACTAATTTGTAGTCGGGAGGCTTAGAAAAAGGCAGCTACGTTTTGTTCCGTTCCACGAGTGAAATCTATAACACTTGGGAAGCAGGGGAGAGAATCCAGTCATCCATCACTTTTCAGCACGGGCTCATGTTCGTGTGGGGGTGAGAAGAGCTGGTTGTTAATGCTTGTACTGGAAGAGCCGCTGAACAAATCAAGCCATTACAGAAACCAGACAGAAAAATACCTCTTAATGGCTTTGCTTGTTAATTATCTGTTTACACGAAACCTTTGTACCTTAAAAGCGCTGGGGAATTCATCAGTGGAGGCCTATTTGCAAGCAGGGGAAGACATTCTATAAGAAATTGTAGATTGGAATGGCGTGAATGAAAGACAGTGATAAGATGGGCGAAAAACTTTGGCTATAATGTAGAATTAGAAAAAGGGCAAATGTGACGGGAGAGAAACTGCAAACTAACCATGTCAACTTCATACAAAGAAAATCTGTATAGAATGCTTTATAGATGGCACCTGCCACCAGCAAGATTAGCAAAAATGTTTAGAAATATGTCAGGTAGATGTTGGAAATGTAAACACAATAGAGGCCCGTACTATCACATTTGGTAGACATGTGGTAAGGCTAAGGCCTATTGGAGAAAGATACATATATGGTTAGAAAAAATATTGGGTGAACAAGTGGATTTTAAACCTGAGCTTTTTTTACTAGGTATTATGCCTGAAAAGACTAATAAGCAGAAATTATATTGAATCTTACACATCACCACAGTAGCGAGAATAATTTTTGCACAATACTGGAAGAATGAAGGATTGCCATCAAAAGAAGAAATAATCAGGAAAATATTGGAATGTGCAGAGATGGACAGATTAACTATGAGGTTGAAAGATAAAGCAGACTATTATCAAATTTGGGACTTATTTTATTGTTGGCTAGAGGAAAGAATGAAGGATTAGGAATTGAGCATGTATTAGCATAGCAAACTCCAGACAACTTGTTGATTGGAAAAATTAACATATGTTTATGAAAAAAAAACCAATAATTTTTTTATTAAAAAAAGAAAGTTTATTTGGGGTGGATTTCATTTGCATTCTTTTAGAGCAGGGGTGTCAAACTGTCGGCCCACGTGCCGGACGCATCACAAGAAAACCACATCCACCCCTTTGCTGGCAATGGGGAAAAAGCTCCGATATGTTGCACGACGTCACATGACATCACAAGTTTGACATATCTGTTTTAGAGAGTCGTTGAGGCCACTTGGAGGTGTGTCTGTGTCCTCAAGGCCACCTGAGTGGTGCAAATGAGTGTGGAGCCTTCTTGGAACTGCTGAAAGGACCATGTTGTAGACTGGAGAAAGATGGTGTCGTATCCCTCCCCCTCTGTTGAGAGAGGGCTGTTCAGTTTTGACCTAGATGGCCTCTTTGACTCCTCTTTCAAACCAGAGGTCCTCTCTGTGGAAAATGTGGACTTTGCTGCCTTCGAAAAAGTGGCTTTTGTCTTTTAAATGCAGATAGACTACTGAATCTTGTCCTGATGGGTTTGTTCTCCTATGTTGTGCCATGTGTTTATGAAGTGGTGGTCTTGTTTCCCCAATATACAGATCTGCACATGTCTCAATGCATTGTACTGCATATACCACGTTGCTTAGTGCATGTCGGGGTTTTTATCCTTGGGGTGGACAAGCTTCTGCCTCAAAATATTCTTGGGTTTGAAGTGGGTATTGCAGATGATGCGACACCTAGCAAAATACGGCATGCTCCATCTAATCCTCCAGGGAAAGATGGAAGGCAAACGAGGTCCAGGCAGAAGAAGAACATCGTGCCTTCAAAATCTAAGGGACTGGTTTGGACAAAACTCAGCAGCACTTTTCCGTGCAGCTGCTGATAAAAACAGGATCGCCAACATGATTGCCAACGTCCGATAACGGATAGGGCACAAGAAGAAGAAGATTGCAGATGAACTATTGGAAACTGTAGGCAATTTTTTGGGTTTTGTTTTAAGCTAGCCATCGGACAGAAACAGCCTCTCCTTAACCATTTCTGTTTTTAATTTTATATAACTATCGCCCTCAAATCTAGTCACTTGCTAGAGTTAGGTGTTGTCTGGTCTTTCCAGGGGTCTTTGATGTTCTCATGAAGAGCGATAAAATGTGGGAAGGATAGCGAAGATTAAACAACCTACACAAAAAAAATCAATTTATTTCTTATTTAGCTCAGAGCTCATGAAAAGCCTGATAATTAGGATGAATTTTTTTTTTCTTTCCTTCTCCAAGTTAGGGCAGCAACTGAAATTAGAAACCTACAGATCTCACCCCAACCTGCCATTTATTCAACGGTTGGTCCATTTGGTTTGATTTGGAAAAAGGAAGAAAAATCTGGCCGCGTTTTCCATCCCTGCATTTCTCATACGCATTTCTTAATCTATGATGACAGAGAGATCGTAAATGTCCTCTAAATGTTACGGAACAGGAGCAAAGTTAAACTGTACAAATGTTTTGGAATTGATGTGTTTAGCATTTAAATGGCAGCCTCTGGTTTTTTTTTTCAGATGGTTTGATGCCAATCTATGGATCATTTATTTCTATCTCTCTGCTCTGTTTTGGAAATATTTCCTTCAAATGAAAAAGCAAAACAGTTGGGCAAAACTTTATGGGAAGGGTGGGGAACATGTTGCCTTATTTGACCAAGAGTTAATGATATCCCTTTTCGAGAATTCTTACAGATACCTGCTGAAGACAGGATATTATTTTAATCATTGGTTTAATTTAGATGTAAATGTAAATTCTCAATTCAGCTCGGCTCCTGATGCGCTCAGTAATTATTTTAGGAGCAACATGGAAGTGGTTTTCATATACTTCTTCTGAGATTACTATTATCATTTGGACATTTTCATTTGATACCACACTGGGGTTTTAGCGTAGTCTTCCTCCAAGTATTAACCAAGTCTGATTCTTCCAAGTCAAGATAATGTTGGCTAGAATAGAATAGAATAGAATAGAATAGAATAGAATAGAATAGAATAGAATAATGATGGAATGGAATGGAATGGAATGGAATGGAATAGAATAGAAAATATGGAATAGAATGGAATGGAATGGAATAGAATAGAATAGAATAGAATAGAATAATGATGGAACAGAATAGAATAAAATAGAATAGAATAGAATGATGGAATAGAATAGAATAGAATAGAATAGAATAGAATAGAATAGAATAGAATAGAATAGAATAGAATAGAATAGAAAATATGGAATAGAATAGGAATAGAATAGAATAGAATAGAATAGAATAGAATAGAATAGAATAGAATAGAATAGAATGATGGAATGGAATGGAATGGAATAGAATAGAATAGAATAGAATAGAATAGAATAGAATAGAATAGAATAGAATAGAATAGAATAGAATAGAATAGACTGGAAGAGACCATGGAGGTCTTCTAGTCCAGCCCCCTGCTCAAGCAGGAGGACCTATACCATCTCAGACAAGTGAATGTCTAGTCTCTTCTTAAAAATCTCCAGTGATGGAGCGCCCACCATTTCTGGGGTTAATTCTATTCCACTGGTTAATTGTCCTCACTGTCAGGAAGTTTCTCCTTAATTCCAGATTGCTTCTCTCTTTGATCAGTTTCTGTCCATTGTTTCTCGTCTTTCCCTCTGGTGCTTTGGTGATCGACCTGACCCCCCTCTACCTTGTGGCAGCCCCTCAAATACTAGAACACTGCTATCATGTCTCCCCTATTTCTTCTTTTCTTTGGACTAGCCAAACCCAAGTCCTGTAGCCGTTCTTCGTATGTTTTAGTCTCCAGGCCTCTGATCATCTTAGTGCTAGTTTAGATGAAGACAACCAAATGATATCCTGCCCAGTTTTTCCAGTGGCCCTTGGCTGACACCCAAGAGAGGAAGCTTCCTTCCACAATGACCCAACCCTGCTTTGAACTTTGACTAAATGGTCATTGACCCTCAGGAGAACTTCTCTCAACCAATGTTACGTTGACATCTGCTTTGGTTTCCATTGCGTTCCAGGACACGGATATCTTGAACACAGCCATCCTCACTGGGAAGACAGTTGCTGTCCCCGTCAAGGTGATTTCTGTTGAAGAAAACAACGTGGTGGTGGATATCTCTGAATCGGTGGAATGCAAGTCTGCTGAAGAAGTAGTTAAAGTAAGTGCTATGATCATCAGCCATGGGGGATATGTTTGAGGAATTGGCTCTCTGTCGTTCCGCTCTGCACTTCCATGGTCAACTATGACCTAGTGGGATCAAGAGAGTTTGTTGATTCTTGTCCCATCTTTCTGGTCAAGGGTTTACTTGTTGGTGTTGCCTTTTCTTCTCCACTTGATACACAAACAGCCAAAACTTTCCTGATGGCACACTGGGTTCTCACACCCCTTTTTTTGGAATTGTGTTGACACTGTTGGCTTTATATGGATGCAGAGATGATCTGGAGGAACCGCTGAGCTTCAGTTCAGAGTAAGGAATGCCTGAGGTGAATTAAAGAGTTATGTTATAAAATAGCTAGGTTATTTGTATTCCAGATTAGAGCCCAACCTGAAATTGGATGTAATTAGACCTTCTTGAAAATATATCTAAAAACCATTGAGGTAAACCATAGACATAATATATGTAGCTCCAGCTATTAAAGAATCCCTACTGGATTTTAATGCCTCCGTATTAATAATGAAGCCAACCTTCCTTTGGCTCAAGGCAATTTGAGGCTTTGTCGGGTTACCGTTGTCTACCAACCCTTCAAGCTTTCTGTTGAAGATACATATTTATGAAACCTTCTTGAACTGACATCTATATATTTTAGTTCACGATCTTCCTAATGTGTATAGAAAGCCCCAAATTGTGTGGCTACTGGATCTGTCATTCTCAAATCTCAGAACTTCCTTCTGATGATGCAGCATCTCTGCCACAGGTATGGTCCTTAGTCTGTCAAAGATTACAAGCTGCCTTAAATTTCCGTCTTTGTTCTGGTGAACTAGGTCAGGGGTAGGCAACCTTGGCTCATTTATGACTCGTGGACGTCAACTCCCAGAATTCCTGAGCCAGCCATGCTGAGGGGAAAGGGAGAGGTTTCTAAGCTGAGCCAGGCTGGCTCAGGAATTCTGGGAGTTGAAGTCCATGAGTCATAAAGCAGCCTAGGCCAGAGGTAGGCAACCTTGGCTCTTTTATGACTCGTGGACTTCAACGCCCAGAATTCCTGAGCCAGCCATGCTGAGGGGAAAGGGAGAGGTTTCCAAGCTGAGCCATGGTGGCTCAGGAATTCTGGGAGTTGAAGTCCACCAGTCATAAAAGAGCCAAAGTTGCCTACCCCTGAACTAGGTCATAAAATCTTGAGCATTACAAATATAAAGGGTAAGAATCTTCAGAGTCTTATTTCAATTAAACCTAGAAACTCTCGCAGCAAAGCAAAGGCTCTGCTTTGATCCTATTCTTCTTCTGTATTGTTTCTACACTATTTTCCTGTTGTGTCTTGAAATACTGTGCACTCCGTCTTCGACAAGTAGAAATATTTCCATGAAATGAACCCCAGAAAGAGTGCAGAGAAGAGCAACAAAGATGATTAGGGGACTGGAGGCTAAGGCATATAAGGAATGGCTGCTGGAATTGGGTATGTCTAGTTTAATGAAGAGAAGGACGAGGGGAGACATGATAGCAGTGTTCCAATATCTCAAGGGCTGCCCCAAAGAAGAGGGAGTCAAGCTATTCTCCAAGGCACCCGAAGGCAGGACAAGAAGCAATGGATGGAAACTCATCAAGGAGAGAAGCAACCTAGAACTAAGGAGAAATTTCCTGACAGTGAGAACAATTAATCAGTGGAACAACCTGCCTCCAGAAGTGGTGAATGCTCCAACACTGGAAGCTTTTAAGAAGAGACTGGACAGTCATTTGGCTGGTTAATTGTTCTAACGGTCAGGAAGTTTCTCCTTAGTTCTAGGTTGCTTCTCTCCTTGGTTAGTTTCCACCTGTTGCTTCATGTCCTGCCTTCTGGTGTTTTGGGAGAATAGCTTGACTCTCTCTTCTTTGTGGCAGCCCCTGAGATATTGGAACACTGCTATTCTGTCCCCCCTCGTCCTTCTCTTCATTAAACTAGACATACCCAATTCTGGAAGAGTGAGATTTAATATTTCGTACATCCACTCTTGCTATATCCCTTGGTATACCCTTCCAACAAAGGCTGGTACATAAAACATATATATCGTTGACAAGCTGGTAATTCTCCATCCATAACAATATAAGTAACACACTTGAAGTGTAACTGATGTTCCAGGATGTTCAGCCAATTCTTTTCCTATCTCTCTCCTGGTTTGGGTTATCAAACGCGCTCGCCTTCTCTGATTCTGAATTTATACTCCACCCTGCAGTTATAAAAGTGCTCAATCTCCCAAGGACGGGTCTAACCTTTTAAAAAGTGGACCAGAAGATATTTACAGTGGCACTAAAACATAAAGAATAGCCCACATTTTTGCTGGCTCAGCGAGATTCCGCTAAGATGCTTTTTTGGTGTCTATGAATAATGAGAGTTCCGTTCTGGACCTTGGGAATTTCTTCCCCTCCTAGAAACTTAGAAAAGGAGCCAGCTATTTTTATTTTGCAAAACTTGAGGGGAAAATGAAATCGCTTCCCTCTCTGGAACAGATTGCTCAGATTTGAAACAAGCCTTGTTTTGGCAGTCAAATTCCTTCTATTAATTTCTGTGTCTGTTCAAGTGCAAGTGAGTTGAGCATGTGCTAAGATTGGCAGCAAGGAAGCCAACGGAGAAGATACATATAATAAAGGAGAATATCTGCAGCTCAGGGTTGAAATGGAGGGTCCTTGGTGCTCTTTGAGCTTGGTGGTTTTCTTGCAGACATTTCATGACCCAACTAGGGAACATTGTCAGTGCTAGACTAATGAAATGTCTGCAATAAAACCACCAAGCTCAGAGAGCACCAAGGACCCTACAGTCGTCGTCCTCCTCCTCCTTCTCCTTTTGTTCTTCCTCTTCTTCTCCTCCTCCTTCTCCTTCTCCTCCTTCCCACAAATCCCACTCTCTCCTTGCACTGATGATGTCACCTAGTTTGGGTAATGAAATGTCTGCAAGAAAACCACCAAGCTCAGAGAGCACCAAGGACCTCACAGTCCTTCTCCTCCTCCTCTTCCTCTGTTCATCTTCCTCCTTCTCTTCCTCTTCCTCCCTTCTTCTTCTTCTTCCTCTTCCTCCTCGCATTGATGATGTTACCTAGTTGGGTCATGAAACATCTGCGGGAAAACAACCTCAGAGAGGACCAAGAACGCCAGAGTCATTCTCCTCCTCCTCCTCCTCCTCCTCCTCCTCTTTTCCATAAAGCTCATTCCCTTCTAGTACTGATGATGTTCCCTAGTTGGGTCATGAAATGTCTGCAAGAAAACAAGGAAGCTCAGAGAGCACCAAGGCCCCCTCAGATACATCTGAGTAGATCAACCCAGAGGATCAGGGCCGTGTTAGGATTTTAAAGACACAAATGTCTCTCTCTTTCTCTCCTTTTCCTGCATGCCTCTTTAAAGGGTAAGGAATGCTAATAAACCTGAGGAAGTTAGTAAAAATCCATAGTTTTTAGTATCTCCCCTAACACTGATGCTGAGATAAAATATGTGTATATCTCTGGTAGTTTCCACCTGACCGTCAAATTCAGCAGTTGCTAAACTTGAAGTTTGGAGGACCAGATGTACAGTAGATGTTTTGAATGTTGGACTAGGATTGTAGAGGTTCAGGTTGAAATTCCTGCTTAGCCATGATGGAGATCCGTAACAAGCTGCATCCATCCTGCTTTCCATTGTCTTAGAAGTCAACCAAATATCCCATCACCCCCAACTCTCATGAGATTTTTTCAATGTGCAAATATCCCATGATCCTCAACAAATTATGATCCTGACTCTTTATCCTGTGATCCCTGACTCTTTTATCAGATTTCTCAGTGAGCAAACATCCCATAATCCCCAACTCTTATGAGATGTCCCAGTGGGCAAACATCCTATAACCCCCAACTCTTACGAGATTTCCCAGTGGGCAAATGGTCCATAATCCCTAACTTGTAAGAGACTTCCAATGGGCAAAATCTTCCATGATCTCCAAATCTTGTTAAATTCCTGGGTTAACAGATGAGATCTTGCGTGAGTCCTGGCAGGAATGCAGGATCTGTGTGAGCTTCAGGCATCTTTCTAAGATCACGCATGATCTTGTGAGCCGTCTCTTACTTTTAACTTTCTTTCTCACTCCTTTTCTTACCGCTGAACAAGACTAAGTTACAAGGCACGGTGCCTCAAACCATCATCAGCTCCAAACTAGGCATGGTGACATGTCGACAATGCGAACTGGCTGTGACAAAAAGAATTGTTTTGACCTTAATTTTCTTTATTCCGCCTTTATTTGTATGCTGTCCCTTTTTCTTGTGATGAAAGCAGTTTGATAAAGAAGAGACAGATGTTGGATCTGGGGTCTGGGAGCAATATTTTATTCCCTCTATCCGGGGTAGCAGGAAGTTTTCATGAGTTCATGGACCAAGGCCGCTTGTTCCCCAAAATAAAATCTCTTATTGCATTCTTTAAAGCCTGGGGATTTATAGATAGGATATTGTTTAATGAAGCACAGACACCAGGAGGTGTTAGATGCTACAATGAAAAGGAACTGAGTTATCAGACTTACAACATCCTTCTGGGGTTTATTCACTCCTTGCCAACGAGTGCTAAATTATGAGAAAAGGTGAATAGTTAGGAACAAGCCCATTTTAATGCTTTATTCTTTGCACTTCGTACTTGATCAATACCTCCCATCAACTTGGTTTAGTGATATAAGGGAAGTTTATTCCATCTCAATTTTATACTAACTTACCCAGCAACAATCTTCTAGACAATCTCAGACAATCAGCTGTCTGAGATTGTGTAGGTTCTCCTGCTTAAGCAAGGGGCTAGTCCCTTCCACCTCTATTCTATTCTATTCTATTCTATTCTATTCTATTCTATTCTATTCTATTCTATTCTATTCTATTCTATTCTACCCCGTCCCATCTCATCCCATTCTCTATACTATACTATACTATACTATACTGTATTCTATTCTGTATTCTATTTTCTACTCTACTCTACTCTACTCTACTCTACTCTACTCTACTCTACTCTACTCTACTCTACTCTACTCTATTCTATCCCATCCCATCCCATCCTATCCCATCCCATCCCATCCTCTATTCTATTCTATTCTATTCTATTCTATTCTATTCTATTCTATTCTATTCTATTCTATTCTATTCTGTTCATCAAGAAGTCTAAACATCTATGGTGATTCTCAGTCTTCCAGGTTATGGTTGTCTCAAAGTTTGTTTGTTTTTTTCAAAAGGCAACTGGACTTTCTTTGGTTTTCCTTGAAGACATTTCGCTTTTCATCCAAGAAGCTTCTTCAGTTCTGAATGGTGGACGTTGGAAGGATTTATATTCCTTGCAGTCATCTGGTCGTTAGCACTCTTTCTGAGAGTCATTGAAGATACTTGGACAGATAAACCTCCTCCGTCATTCCGTCAGAACCGAAGAAGCTTCTTGGATGAGAAACGAAACGTCTTCAGGGAAAAATAAAGCCCAGTTGCTTTTTGAAAAAGCACCCTTGGGACACCAGAACTCAGTAATAATAATAATAATAATAATAATAATAATAATAATAATAATAATAATAATAATAGTAGTAGTAGTAGTAATAATAATAATAATAATAATAATAATAATAATAATAATAATAAAGTTGGAAGGGACCTTGGAGGTCATCTAGTCCAACCCCCTGCTCAGGCAGGAAACCCTATACCATTTCGGACAAATGGCTGTCCAGTCTCTTCTTAAAAACTTCCAGTGGTGGAGCATTCACCACTTCTGGAGGCAGGTTGTTCCACTGATTAATTGTTCTCACTGTCAGGAAGTTTCTCCTTAGTTCTAGGTTGCTTCTCTCCTTGATGAGTTTCCACCCGTTGCTTCTTGTCCTGCCTTCAGGCGCTTTGGAAAATAGCTTGATTCCCTCTTCTTTATGGCAGCCCCTGAGATTATGATGGATTGCACGGTCAGCCAGATGTTTAGATTGGCTTTGGCATTTTTGTCTACCTATCAAGTCCTTCCCATACGCAGATGTTGTCCTTTGAGGGTGTTGAAGGTGTTGTTGCAAGATGTAAGCTATTCCAAGTCAATCTACCTTTTGCAATTGACTGATGCTGTTTGTCGATGCCGGTGGTGTTCAAGTGGTGCTTCAGATGTTTTGCAATTATACCCAAGGCACCTTTTACTGTTGGTACTATCTTTGCAAACAGCATCTGCCTATTCCAGGTCCTTGGGAAGGACTCCAAATCCAGTTGCCAGTTCTTTAGCAAATATTGGCATTCATTCATACCAAGTTCTTCCCAAGAACCTAGAATGTCTTAATGGATTGGCTTATTGCAGCTCCAAGCAGTGATTAATAGTGATCCTTATTATTATTTTCCAAAACAGCAGTACTTTTTTTCTTCTCCCTTGAGATATTACAAATCCCTAGGACTTTACAAAGAACACCCAGCAAAAATAATAATTCCTCCTGTGATGGACCATTATCTCTTTTTTATGGTTGGTTTTGTGCTGCTGAACTTTTCTTTTCATTCAACCTCAGGGCAGCCTCCCGCCTTCTCGCCGCCAGCGTTGAACTGGATTTATTATTTAGCATGTAAATATTGTCCCAGAATGGAAGCACACATTAGCATAGCCAATTTCAGAGAGATATCCGTAATCGCTTCTTTAATCAGTGTTGAATTTTACAGACCACTGAGTTTTCTCTTCTGTTAACATGCTGGGGACAAGCTGGGTGGCAGAGACAGATAATGGATGGATAAATAGGCAGATGATAGAGAGACAGAGAGAGGGATGATACAGGGAAGGTAGATAGATGATAGCTGGATAGCTGATAGATAGATAGATAGATAGATAGATAGATAGATAGATAGATAGATAGACAGACAGACAGACAGACAGACAGACAGACAGACAGACGATAGAGAGGATACAGGGATGGTAGATAGATAGATGATAGCCGGATAGTTGGATAGATGAAAGGTAGGTAGACAGACAGACAGACAGACAGATGATAGAGAGATGATACAGGGATGGTAGATAGATAATGATAGCTGGATAGTTGGATAAATGATATAGATAGATAGATAGATAGATAGATAGATAGATAGATAGATAGATAGATAGATAGATAGATAGATAGATAGATAGATAGATAGAAGAGACAGGGAGAGAGATGAGAGAGAGAGAGAGAGAGAGAGAGAGAGAGAGATGGTTGACAAAGGGGCTCTGTAATGACATTGTCACCATAACATTCTTAAAAGTGTCATAAATGATGCAGAAAACCTTGCAATTGGTTAATCACGCACCTTGTGTCAGGTATATTTCCAGTGAAATCATTTGAGCATCACCAAAGCCTTACTAAATGGAGCCAGGGCTGAAAAGCTAAATATGTGTGGTCTGATCAGGGCCATCATTTTGTCCAAAGGCCCGCCCCTGGCTCTCAAAATTCCAGATGTGCCCCGAAGATCTCCTCCCATCCATGCCAGACCCACGCGAGTACGTCCTCTGATTCCTTCTTGACCTCCTCCTGTTTTCATTCTTTTCCTTAGGTGTCTGACCGATGCGACTACGTTTTTGTCAACGGCAAAGAGATGAAAGGAAAGGTGAACGCTGTGGTGAACTTCACGTACCAGTATCTCAGTGCCCCCTTGCGGCTGGCCATTTGGGTCCCACGCCTGCCTCTTCAGATTGACGTGTCGGACACGGAGCTGAATCAGGTCAAAGGCTGGAGAGTCCCCGTTGTTTCCAACCAGAGGTGGGTTTTGGTTGCTTGGCTCAAGATTTGTAGCCTCTGTCTACGTTCAAAGGACTCCGAGTCCTTCTGTTTCTGTTGCGCCTTCTTTTTCAATCCCCTGTTCTGTTTCTTTCCCTTCTTTCTGTAGATAAGGAAGATGAATTTATAAAGGGACTGGGAAAGGGATCTCATATTTCCTAGGGTGATCCAGTTCAGTCTTTCCCCAGTTCCAGAGGGCATGGTGCAGTGGTCCATGTTGGATTGGATTCGGGAAAAATCAGCATCAATCTGCCACTCAATCAAGGGGCTTTCTGAAAGATAAATAGTAGACGGTAGATAGATGATAGATGGTAGTAGATAGATGGTAGATAGATAGATGATAGATGACAGAAGATAGATAGAGAGATAAGAAAGAGAGAGGTGATAGATAGATAGATAGATAGATAGATAGATAGATAGATAGATAGATCTCTATCAGCTTCCTCTCTATCTTTATTTCTATAGATCTCTATCTGAGACAAACAGACAAACAGGTTTTCGCGGGTGTTTGTATGTAGGTCTTTGGTTATTCGGGTCTAATAGTGTCTCCTAGAAGCACGAAGCCGAAAATACCAGCCTGAAGATGACGAATGGGACTTCGTCGAAACGTCGCCAAGATACTTCCAATTTTACGCGAGAGAAAACCCGAACAACCAAAGACCTACATACAAATACCCGCGAAAACCTCAGAAAACACACACACACACACACACACACACACACACACACACACAAAGAGAGAGATATGTCTGTATCATCTCTCTCTCTAGCTTTCTCTCTGACATCTCTATCTCTATATTTCTATCTATCTCTTCTTAATGTAGTTTATATAATTATTGGGGTGAAGACAATTATATTTCAGAAGTGAACAAACATATTTAATTGGTTCAAGCTTTTACAAATTCTTCCCTAGAAGAAGCCTTTGTTGGAGGAGTTTGGTCCATGAACCAACGATGAATTGTCTTCTCCAAACAGCAGTTGACCATGGTGAATCTCCTTTTAAGAGCATCTTCTTTGTGGAAGAAGCCATGGCATCTTTGAAGTGTGATGTGTCTATTCAGCTCGTTGGGCGTGAAGGCAATCTCAAAATGCTAATTTTTCAGATTGACACGGGAGAGTGATGATGAAGATGGAGATGAGCGGAAAGGAAGAGGTTGCACCCTCCAGTACCAGCACGCCATGGTGCGAGTCCTCACCCAGTTTGTGGCTGAAGATGCCAGCCCATCAGGGCAGCTGTCCTATTTGCTGGGCTCCGACTGGCAGGTTGACATAACAGATTTGGTGACGGACTTCATGAAGCTTGAGAAACCTCATGTGGCCCAGTTACAAGGAGGCAAGGTTCTGGTTGGGCAGGAAGTTGGCATGACAATGGTCCAGGTCAGTCTATCACATTGGTAGGAGAACATTCCTGCCTTGATCTTCCATTCTCTAAAGGTATTTGAGGGAAAAAAAATGACAGTGTAACTTTGATATATTCCTAAGAGCATCTCTCTATTGACTTCCAAAGGTCCTTTCTCCACTATCTGACTCCATCTTGGCCGAGAAGACTGTGACGGTGTTGGACGACAAAGTGACCATCACCAATATTGGAGTCCAACTAGTAGCTGGGTTATCCCTTGTTCTTCAACCCAGCACAGCTAGCCGTCAAGCTTTCATGGCTACCACTATAGCTCAAGAATTGCTCCACATTCACAAACAGGTATTGGGGCTTTCGTGAGTCATATGCTGAGCCCTGTGTCTCCAGAATCTTGGTGTCATGTTTCTGTCAGATGAAACTCTTCAAAAGAACTTCGAGGCATTGTTTACCTTAAAGAATCTTTTATTCGAGAAACAAAGTATTGGCACAATATAGTTAAAACCAAAAACTGAATTCCCCTCCCCTGGGCACAAAGTAGCAAAGCAAAATTCCCTCCTCCAATTAACAGTCATAAATCACATTCCCCAATTAGCTTGAAGATGGGTTTTCTCCCCAGCTCTCCAACCCACCAAATCTTTATCAACTCTGGGTGCAATAACCTTGATTCCCACAGCTGAGTTTTTGTTGTTATGACTAACTGGACTCTCATCCACATCCCCCCTCCCAGCATCAACTAACTCCAAAAGCAAAAGAGAAAAGATGGCTACGTTTCCATCTGTTATCAAAGCAAGAACACCTGTTGTTAGTAGCGTTGACACTTGGCATACTACTTCATCTTTAACCCATGTTTCCTTATTGTCCAAGAGATACGGTGAAGACTGAAGGATGGGGAAATTAAATTGGTCCTCGGATTGGGAAAGTCATCCAGTCTTGTTATCTTCTGGCTCCATCTAAAAGCTTATTTCTTCACAAATATCCCACTGAGGTCCAGGCATGTCCTTCCCATGGCAGTGGTAAAACCTTTTAAACTAAATGGGTATACATTTGTACCAATTCTTCTGAAGAAGAAGGAAAGACCACTCTCATGTTTAAATGATGCTTGTGTCCAGGGACAGAAGAGATTTCTCCCCCCCCCTTTTTTTTTCTTTCCTGGCTGTTTCCTACCTGGAAAGTATAATAATCTTTGAGGACCATTAAACTAAACAGCTCCCGTCTGCATTGCTTAAAAGTATCAGATTTATCGATCGGACCTATTGATTAAGCATTCCAGCCCTATAAAAGCCACTTTTCTCTCTCCTTCCCATTAAAGCTGATTTGTGTCAGAAGACTGCAATCTCCTTGAAAAGTTGCTGGCCTCAAAGCTAGTACGGAATAATGGCTTGAGAAAATAAGAGTGGCAGATAGCAACTTGGAAAACATACCCAGGAAAGTCCTTGACTTGCCAAGTGTCTGTTTAGTGATGAGGTTAAGGAGCAGTTGAATCCCAATAGTCATTGGGACTCAACTGTAATAATTATTTATTAATTTGTGGTTGTTAGTCGCGAAGTCGTGTCCGATCCATCGCGACCCCATGGACAATGTTCCTCCAGGCCTTCCTGTCCTCCACCATCTTCTGGAGTCCCCTAAACCTCATGCCTACTGCTTCAGGGACTCCATCCAGCCACCTCATTCTCCAGCGCCCCCTTCTTCTCTTGCCCTCCATCTTTCCCAGCATCAGGCTCTTCTCCAGGGAGACCTTCCTTCTCATTAGGTGGCCAATACTTGAGTTTCAACCTCAGGATCTGGCCTTCTAAAGAGCAGTCAGGGTTGATCTCTTCCAGGACTGACCGGTTTGATTGCCTTGCAGTCCAGGGAACTCATAGGAGTCTTCTCCAGCACCACAGTTCAAAGGCCTCCATTCTTTGGCGCTCAGCCTTTCTTATGGTCCAATTTATTAATAATAGTAATAATTCCAAAACCTGGAATTAAGGAGAAATTTCCTAACAAGTGAGGACAATTAATGAGTGGAACAGCTTGCCTTCATAGAGGGTTCACCACTGGGACTAATTTGATTCCAGAATGAATGTTGATGAACCAATCTGAGGAAAAGTGGAGTTCAAGAAAAGCTTACAGCCGTGTCTAGAATTCATTGATCTTATGGGATCAGGATTGAACTTTCTTTCATAGGAACCCAACTGGATCACACCATCATCTAGTTCAGAGTTCCTTAAGCTCTTTGATCTCATCAAGTGACCCATTTTCAAAGGACCTTGGAGGTCATCTAGTCCAACCCCTGCTCAGGCAGGAAACCCTATACCATTTCAGACAAATGTTTGTTCCAATCTCTTCTTAAAAGCCTCCAGTGATGGAGCATTCACAGCTTCTGGAGGCATGTTGTTCCACTGATTAATTGTTCTCATTGTCAGGGAGTTTCTCCTTAGTTTCTCCTTGGTTAGTTTCCATCCATTGCTTCTTGTCCTTCTAGTCCATGAAAACTAATGAGATGTTCTACTTATGATGTTCAACTATTTCCTTTTGTTTTCTGCTAGGAGGCCATGGTGAGCTCCTGGATTCAATTCAGCGATGGTGCTGTGACCCCACTGGACATCTACGATCCCAGCGATTTCTCTCTCTCGGCCTCCTCACTTGATGAATCGGTTGTTTCGGCCCATCAGAGCTCTGCTGCCCAGTGGCCAGTGGTGGTAGCAGAAGGAGAAGGGGAAGGCCTACTGGTCAGAGTAGATATGATGATCTCTGAGTCTTGCCAGAAATCCAAAAGGAAGAGTATCCTAGCAGTTGGCAACGGAAGCATCAAAGTCAAGTTTGGCCAGAACGACGCCAACTCCCACGGCCTTGGGGATTACAGTGCTGAGGAAATTGAAAACCATGCCAGTGACCGGAGGCAGAAGGAGTTTGACCAAGAGCACCATAGCCAGGAAGGACAATATTATAGGAGTTCTTCTGCTGAACGAGAAGAAGGCCTCAAGAAGAAGACGGGCGGGACAGCCAAGTCGACAATCAAAAGCAAAGTCTTCAAAAGTATCCCTGAAGGAGATAAACTTTCAGATGATGGTCTACTCCAGAACATCCCCATTGACTTTACCAACTTCCCGGCTCAGATCGACCTTCCCCAAAGCAATAGTGGTGTGGAGGACAGTGACCTGGTTCAGACACCGAGAGGTCTCAGTGACCTGGAGACTGGGATGTATGCCCTGTTAGGAGTCTTCTGCCTTGCCATTCTGGTCTTCCTGATCAACTGTGCCACCTTCACGTTGAAGTACCGTCACAAGCAGCTTCCCATGGAAGAGCAGACCTCCATGAACCATTCTCATGACTGGGTGTGGCTTGGGAATGAAATGGAGCTGCTGGACAACCCAGCAGATGTCTCGCCTCCACCCGATGAGTGCATCACGAACATAGACCAAGGGATAGGCTTTGATGCGGGCCATCAACTCCTCGTTGGCACGCCCAAAAAGCTCCCGAGTCAAAGCAGTCCAAAAGTTCAATGGGGGGACAAGCAAATTAGGGACCTGAAGCAGGAGCACCCATTGCATTCGCCCACCTCCAAGAGGAAGCGGGTGAAATTTACCACATTCACCACCATTCCTCCCGATGATGGCTCTCCCACCGTCAACTCCATCCTCAACTGCAGCGAAGATGACATTAAATGGGTTTGCCAAGATATGGACCTGGGAGAATCAAAACAGATCAGGAACTACCTGGAAAAGCTCAAAGAGAAAGTGTAGCAGCGTCACTTCTGGGTTTTCAGAGCACCTTGATGCCTTCAGATGCATTGGAATATGTGAATACACAAATATATGCATGAACTGGAGTGGGAATTGAGTAGATGGTGTATAGGATCAATTCTGATAACCTGGCAGATACGTTCTTCGATAAAAACCAGCTAGACGGCAGTGTCTAATCAAGCTGGATGGATTGCAGGAAACAAATCAGAGTTGGACCTGGTTAGTCCTTGGATAGAACATCATCAAGATGTTCTTGGCCTGTAGGCTCTACTGGGAAGTAATAACCCAACCAGAAAGAAACAACAACAAATTATTTCCATGTTGTTGCCAACGATATTTACACAGATGTTTTCATAAAAGTTCATTCCATGTTTATTATTTGCCAAATAATAAACGATAGATGATTTCTCCCAACCCATCCTCTTCAGATCAGATGTTTCCATGGTCAAGTGGAAGCTCCCAAGGAATAGTTGGTGCCTAGGTGGGGCAGGATGTCATGAAGAATCAAAAGGTTGGGTTTTCAGAGGTTATCAAGTGGAAAGTAACCAAAAGTATTGTTTTTTAGAGAGAGAGACAAATCAAAGTGGATAGTGGAGATAAAAGGCCACCCACCCTTCAGATCTCTTTGAAAAGTCTTGAGGTCTAAGGAGAGCTTGAGGGAGTCTTCATGCTTGACTTACCGTCCCTTGAGTTGGAGAGAATTGGGGATGACATCTTGTGCAGCAGAAGGAAACTGGGGTCACTTTTGGATTTAGCTGCATTTTTTTTTTGAAGGTTCCCATGTGGAAATTCAGTTCTCCTTCTCATCTCTCTTCCTTTCCTCAACATAGTCTTTCTGCAAGTCATTTGGGGGAGATGAGACTTATTTTACAGGTATTCCAAGAGTTTTGGTCCAAACCTAACATAAGCCACTGAAAGGGTCTTGCCACTTGGAGCAGAAAGCTTTGGCACGGGAATTCTAGATGCAGCCATGAGCTTTGGCTGATTTTAACCAATGACAATGCATTCATTCCCCCTTGTGTCCTGTGCGTGATGTCACAATGCACATAGAAAAGGGGTAGGGCACCACAACATTGCTTTCTTCAGCCTAACCACCAATGGGTAGACAGAACAGCAAACCCTGATTGGTTCAGCCTTGTAGCAAATCAGCACCACTTGGTGTTGAGCGTTGTCTAACCCTGGGGTCCCCAACCCCAGTCCGTGGATGGTACCAGGCCACAGCACGCCAGCAACCGGTCCGCACAAACAAGCAAAGCCCCATCTGTGGGATGCAGGCAGCAGACAAAACCACACATCCTTCATCCGCGGGAAAAAAAACTTAACCAGTCCCTGGTGCCCCAAAAGTTGAGGACCTCTGGTCTAACCAACATCCGTGCCTATCTCTGAAGGTTTTCTTTTTCCCACTATCTTGAAAGCGAACCAATGTTCTTTTTGAGAAGACAGAGCTGATCTGGAGTCTGGAAGGTCTTCTCTTGGCTTGGAGAACAATAAGCTTGAAATTAGTTCATTCTAAGGCAGTGGTTCTCAACCTGTGGGTCAGGACCCCATTTGGGGTCTAACGACCATTTCACAGGGGTCGCCAAACAACGCAGTCCGCCATTTCCCCCCCCCTTTTCCTTAGCTGTGCTACTCCCTTTTATTCTGTTGGCTTTTGAAAGCCAATAGAATAGACTCTCTTGAATAGAGTCTAATTCTATTGGCTTTCAAAAGCCAATAGGAATTGTCCAGGCTGTCTCTGCCCTGCTGAGCCCGCCAAAAGTCCCATTCTGCAAATGGTGCTGCGCCAGTTGAGTAGTCCTCGACTTACGACCGGTTGATATTCCAGCTTTTCGTTCTGGTCCTCCTTCACTGGAAACAGAAGTCAGTGTTAGTTCAATGGACTTGGTTGGCTGGGTTTGTATAACCCAACGAACCAGATCTGGTCAAATCTGTGTGACAGCCATTCCACTGGTTCAGCTAAACCTTGATTAGCTGTCTCCGTGCGTAGTTCAGCATATTCACTCAGCCCATGGGGTTAATTTACAGCTGGCTGCGTTGTACAAACAAACGCAGAAAAATTGGTTCAGTCAGTCGCCAGATTAAACTCGTGTGAATGAAGCGTCTGAAAGCTTTCCAGCCGGTTTGGGAAGGGGGAACCTGCTCTGTCAATCATCATTAGGGATACTTAAATGCCTCATTGCATTTTATTTGTGCCCTGTTTGGGTTTTGGCTTCCTCCCACCCCAAACACCCGTCTGTTTTACTTCTCTTCTTTCTTTGGGATGGCCTCCATGGATCTTGACACCTTGTAACGCAGACCGACTTTATTTTTTCTTTTGCTTTTGACAAGACTGGCCTAGTATTCACTGTAAACTGAATGAATGTAATATTTATTTCTACATGTCCACGGCTGTAATTAAAATGTTTCCATGGCTTGGTTAAAAGTCAGTTTGTTCGGAGGGGGGTCCACCAGGGTAAAAAAAATAATAATCAAATCTTATGTTCTTCTCCCAAGGCAAACGCAGCTCCTAAGGGGGTGATTAAGGTCATATTAAAAAATGCTGATGGGGATCACCGACAATTACAAGTAAGTTCTTTTAGCGACCGTTAAAAGTTACATCGTGACTGAAAGATGTGACCGATGACCGCTTTTCAGTTATGACCTTTGCAGCATCCCCATGAGACTGGACAGCCATTTGTCTGAAATGGTATAGGGTTTCCTGCCTGAGCGGAGTGTTGGACTAGATGACCTCCAAGGTCCCTTCCTACATTATTATTGTTGTTATTATTATTGTTGTTATTATTATTATTAAGCAAGCTCAGAGAACACCTATAGTCCTTCCTTCCTCCATAAATTCAATCCCTTCTAGCACTGATGATGTTACCTAGTTAGGGTAATGAAACGTCTGCAAGAAAACAAGCAAGTCCATAGTCCATCCATCCTTCCTTCCTCCCTCCCTCCCTCCCTCCTTCCTTCCTTCCTTCCTTCCTTCCTTCCTTCCCTCCCTCCCTCCCTCCCTCCCTCCTAAATTCAATCCCTTCTAGCACTGATGATGTTACCTAGTTAGGGTAATGAAACATCTGCAAGAAAGCAAGCAAGCCCATAGTCCGTCCTTCCTTCCTTCCTTCCTTCCTTCCTCCCTCCCTCCTTCCCTCCTTCCTCCCTCCCTCCCTCCCTCCCTCCTAAATTCAATCCCTTCTAGTACTGATGATGTTACCTAGTTAGGGCAATGAAACGTCTGCAAGAAAACAAGCAAGCTCAGAGAGCACCTGGGACCCCTCAGATACATCTAAGTAGATCAAGCCAGAGGATCAGGGCCGTGTTAGGATTTTCAAGACATTTCAAATCTCTCTCTCTTTCTCCCCTTTGGGTCTACGTACCGTCTTCAGCCTCTAGGCTGCTGTATCTCTCCTGGTGTCCAAGCAAACCACTCTCAGCAAGCTAGCCTTTTTTATTGTTGTTGTTTGAAAAAACAAAAAACGGGGGGGGGGGAGGGCGTGATAAACCAGGATAGACCAAGTTGTAAAAGAAAGTTGATTCGTCTCCAATGTTTCAAAGTAGCCAGAGGAGGGCGCCTCATAACTTCCTATCTGATAACTTGCGAATTTTGCTCTGCTCTTCTGCTTTCTCCAAATCCTGTTTAAAAAAAAAAAAAAAAGCCACTGCTGTGCTAAAGCCTGTTGTTTTGAGTGTGTGTTTGAGTGTGTGTGTGTGTATGAGGGGGGGGGGGTAGGGTTGGTAGAGGGAATAAAACAACCAGCTGTGCTTGGAATAGTTTGGCAGAGGAGTAAAATCTGGTTTCCCACCGTTAAAATTGGTTCTGCAATTCCATGAGCTCTTTAAAGTGCTACCTTTGGGGGGGGGGGCGAGGAAAAAAAAGCTCCTCTACACAAACACACACACACACTCACACACACACAGAGACATACACACTTTTTCTTTGCTGCATCCAATTGGCTTTGAATAACTAGGCTGCTGGCTTCAGATGCTGAGTTTGCTATCAATGCTTGCCCAGCTTTTGAAAGACTTTTGAGAGGAGCTGTTGAAATTATACTGCCTGGTTGAAATGCAAGTATGAAAAGAAAAAAAGAGAAGAGAAAGGAAAAAAGGGAAAGGGAGGAGAGGAGAGGAGGAGGGACTAGGAGGAAAAAATAGAATAGAATAAAATAGGATAGGATAGAATAGAATTAAAATAGGAATAGAATTAAATTAGGAATAGAATAGAATAAGAATAGAATAGAAGAATAGAATAGAATAGAATAGAATAGAACAGAATAAGATAGAATAGAATAGAAGAATAGAATAGAATAGAATAGAAAAGAAAAATAGAATAGAATAGAATAGAAGAATAGAATAGAAAAATAGAAGAATAGAATAGAATAGAATAGAATAGAGCAGAACAGAACAGAAGAATAGAATAGAATAGAATAGAATAGAATCTGGAAGGGACCTTGGAGGTCTTCTAGTCCAACCCCTTGCTCAAGCAGGAGAACCTGTAACATCTCAGACAAGTGACTGTCCAGTCTCTTCCTAAAAACCTCCAGTGATGAAGCACCCACAACTTCTGGTGGCAAGCTGTTCCACTGATTAATTGCCCTGTTAGGAAAGTTGCTTCTCTCTTTGATCAGTTTCCATCCATTATCTCTTGCCAGGCCCTCTGGTGCTTTGGAGAATAACGTGACTCCCTCTTCTTTGTGGCAGCCCCTCAAATACTGGGACACTGCTATCATGTCTCCCCTACTTCTTCTTTTCTTTAGCTAGCCAAACCCAAGTCCTGCAGCTGTTCTTCAGAGGAAAGGAAAGGAAAAGAGAAAGCAGCTTCTGCAAAGAAAGTCTATCTTGCCCTACCTAAATAAAGCCTTTAGGCATAGGGTAGCCCTGAATTGCTATAAGACCAAGACCAAGTTCCACACCTGTGGGATCTAGACATAATGGTTGAAGGTTCTCCATCTCTGTAGGCTTTTATGAAGAGGTTGAACAGCCAGTTCTATCTAGAGGATGGCCAAGTTTCTTTTCCTGCAGATGGCAAAGGCTTAGAGAAGATGTTCCTTGGGGTTCCATCAGCATCACAACTTCCTAGTTCTGTGATTTATGGATGCAGCCAATTTAGCCGTTGGCAAGTGGCCGTTCAGAACCAGCCATTGTTTTATTGACCCTCACATTGGCACCAGACAGGAAAAAAAAACCATGAACTCAATTTGGACTTCAGTTCCTGTATTATGGAAAAGAGATTGAACTTTTTGTTTTGCTAAACCAGGAATTAAACTCTCTCTTTCCTTTTTATGTCCCTAATTAGGACCCCAACTTTTGGAGAATAAATTCAGACCGTTGGCTACGGTCAGCCTCGTAAAGGACCTCATTATTGTAAGCCCTCCAAAAGTAGCAATGAGTTATAATTATTTTCTTCTTTCTAATTGGGCGTCTGTGTCTCTGTTTCCAAACAGGGCTGGAAAACAAAGGACTAATTGCAGGAAACTTTTGATTTTTAATTGACATGCAGGAAATGAAAGTAGGCAGAAATGACTGCCTCAAACAAACCTCAGCAAAACTCACACAACAAAAGGGTTTTTTTTTTTTTTAGCTTTTTGCCAAGGGGGGAGGGAAATCAGATTTTATGTGCACGGTCCAATGTAGCCTTTGAAAATATTGGCTTAGGAAAGCTGTACGTGTAACTCCAGGCATCCTTTGACTGTGTGTGTGTGTGTGTGTGTGCGTGTGTGTGTGTGTCAAAAAAGTCACTTTGGCAGTTGTGTGTGATTGAAAACACATCAAATCCACCTAGAAGAGGGATGTTCTGTTCTCTATTCTATTCTATTCCTATTCCTATTCTACAATCTGTCTATTCTATTCTACAATGTCTATTCTATTCCATTCCATCCCATATTCTGTTCTGTTCTATTCTATTCCTATTCTATTCTACAATCTGTCTATTCTATTCTATTCTATTCTATTCTATTCTATTCTATTCTATTCTATTATTTCTATTCTATTCCTATTCTATTCTACAATCTGTCTATTCTATAATGTCTATTCTATTCTATTCCATTCCATCCCATCCCATATTCTGTTCTGTTCTATTCTATTCCTATTCTACAATCTGTCTATTCTATTCTATTCTATTCTATTCTATTCTATTCTATTCTATTATTTCTATTCTATTCCTATTCTATTCTACAATCTGTCTATTCTATAATGTCTATTCTATTCTATTCCATTCCATCCCATCCCATATTCTGTTCTGTTCTATTCTATTCCTATTCTACAATCTGTCTATTCTATTCTATTCTATTCTATTCTATTCTATTCTATTCTATTATTTCTATTCTATTCCTATTCTATTCTACAATCTGTCTATTCTATAATGTCTATTCTATTCTATTCCATTCCATCCCATCCCATATTCTGTTCTGTTCTATTCTATTCCTATTCTACAATCTGTCTATTCTATTCTATTCTATTCTATTCTATTCTGTTCTATTCTACAATCTGTTCTGTTCTATTCTATTCTATTCCATTCTGTATTTTCTCCTATTCTATTCTATTCTATTCTATCCTATCCTATTCTATTCTATTCCTATTCTACAATCTTTCTGTTCTATTCTATTCCATTCCATTCCATTCCATTCTATTCTGTATTTTCTCCTATTCTATTCTATTCTCTATTCTATTCTATTCTTTATTCTATTCTATTCTATTCTATTCTATTCTATTCTATTCTATTCTATTCCTATTCTACAATCTGTCTGTTCTATTCTATTCCATTCCATTCCATTCTATTCTATTCTTACCTAGAGTACTAAGCAGTTGGAAATAGACATGACCTTCTAAATTCTCCCCCCCCACTCAAAAACAGCTGCACTTTGTTAACCTCAGAAAACATCCAATCTAATCTGTGCTTCCTGAAAACCACCAGTTCCGATATTTCATTTCCCTTCCGCCTGAAATCTATATAAAAATATTTCAAGTGCTCTCTGCCAATATTAAAAACACTCCAGAAGGCGCACACATGCTGCAATTTTGAATTATTGCTTCTCCGCACATATATATTTTCCCCTCTGCGCATAAGTCTTTGGTACACAATATTTTTGATGTGTTTTTAAAAGCAAGAATCATAGCAATTTAACAATACTGCCTTGGCAGCCCGCGCATGTTATGCTTTGGAATCGCGGTGCTGTTATGATTCTCTGAGTGCGATTTCTGAATTATTAACCTTTCATAAATACTTAGCTGGAGCATTAATGGATTTACAACGGCTGGGTTCGGAATAGATAGCTGCAGACCGATTAAGGTACATTATCTTCTGAATCACAAGGAAGAGAAGACAAACCAAAATAGGCAATAAAAAACAGTCAACCCTGAATGCCTTGTTTGGGATTGCTGTTTGCTTCCCTGAAAATGCAGGTAGTCCTCAATTTATGAGGGTGATAGAGCCCGTCCATTGCAGTCATAAAGTGTGACAGTCATAAAATGGGTCACCCATGTGACTGACTCATTTTACATCCTAGTCTTGTTTTTGTCATCTAATGTTCAGTTTGGCCATGTACTAGCCTCCCATTCTTGGCTAAACAGATAAAAAAAAATACTCTCCAGCAAATGAAGTTTAATTTTTTAAACTCTTCTTCCAAATTTTCTCTGTCCACCAGGAGAAATGGATGGATAGATAGATAGATAGATAGATAGATAGATAGATAGATAGATAGATAGATAGATAATGATATGGATGGAGAGAGACGTTAAATGAGAGATAGATAGATAGATAGATAGATAGATAGATAGATAGATAGATAGATAGATAGATAGATAGATAGATAATGTTAAATGATAGATAATGTGGATGGATAGATAGATACATAGACAGACAGATATGGGTGGAAAGAGATGATAGATATGGATGGATAGATAGGTAGGTAGATAGGTAGATAATGATATGGATGGAGAGAAACGTTGATAGATAGACAGATAGGTAGATAATGTTAAATGATAGAGAGATAATGATATAGATGGATATATAGATATATAAGATGATAGATAGACAGACAGACAATATGGATGGATAAACAGACAGGCAGGCAGACAATGATGGATAGATGAAAGTGATAGAATGATACTGAGATAGAGATAGATGATAGACAGACAGCTGATCATCTGCTTTCCTATTTGAAAAGGAAGGACAGGACTTTTGAAAATTCAATGTGGAACCCACCCCCACCCCGATAGTGTCAACATCAGCAGGTGACTGAGATTAAAGGTTGGTTAGTTCGAATTCACGACGGCATAATTCTAGCCCATCAAGCCATTAAAGCTCTGACAGCCATTAAGGTGTAATTTTTTTTCTAACTTCGGAGGAATAGACGCTAAATCACCCTAAAAAATTTTCTCCAGGAGGAGACAGTCGTTTTATTACCTAATAGAACGGAGGATGAATGGCTTCAGAGTTAGGTGCCCACAGACCTGCCTAATAAAATAGATTTTTGTCAAATAGAATAAAACACCCTTTTTGCAAACTGAGCTGGCTTTGGGATTGACCCCCGCGGGTTGGTTTCATAAATCAGATTAATTTAATGGTGATATCGGCTTTAGGTGAAGATGGGCATAAGTCCAGGACTACCTAAGTAGACCTTGGCTTACAACAGACCGTTCAAAGTTACAACAGCACTGAAAAAAGAGACTTGTGGCCGTTTTTCACTAGAAAAACTAGACATACCAAAATACCTTCCAATAGTGTTGCACCACCACATCAGTTTTTTAAGTACCGAGTTCACTCTCAGACATTTTCACCTTGCAACTAAAATGACTGAATTTGGAGAGAAAATATAGAGACGAACCGTTTTTTAAAATCTATTTACACAGGGTCACATCACAAGGGTTGTGTAAACAAGTTTAAAGGAAGATACTTGATATTTTTAAAAAGAGAAGAGAAGAGATTTGCCTCCTCTCCTTGGTTAAGAACTAAGCAGCAATTCTCAGGTTGTTGTTTTTTTTTTAAAAAAAAAAGGCAAAGTTGATTTTCCTCCCTCCAGTGACTCTAAAATTCAGTGCAAAGAGTTGGTTTGAAGGGTTCACGAGTCAAGGTTGGGACTGAGACAACTTAAAAAACACAAGCGGATGAAGATTTAAACCCAAATGTCATTAAAAAAAAACCCTGGGAAGGAAGGAAGGAAGGAAGAAAGGAAGGAAGGAAGGAAGGAAGGAAGGAAGGAAGGAAGGAAGGAAAAGATGGAGGGAAGAAGGGGAAGGAAAGGAAGGAAGGAAGGAAAAGATGGAGGGAAGAAGGGGAAGGAAGGAAGGAAGGAAGGAAGGAAAAGATGGAGGGAAGAAGGGGAGGGAATGGAAGGAAGGAAGGAAGGTGAAAGGGAGGGAGGAAGAAGGAGAAAGGGAGGTAGGGAGGAAGAGGGAGGGAGGAAGGGAGGAAGGAGAAAGGGAGGGAAGAAGAAGAGGAAGGAAGGAAGGAGAAAGAAGGAGGAAGGGAGGAAGAAGAGGGAGAGAGGAAGGCAGGAAGGAAGGAAGAAAAGAGGAAGGAAGTGTCAGGAAACAGGAAAGAATATGCCAAACCAGTTTCACACTCCCAAATAATTGCTAACATAAAACCAAACCAAACATTCCCCCCACCCCGAAACCTACAGTAGGTTTAAAAATATCCTTTATTTCAGCCTTCTCTAACTAGTTCTCTTCATACCCTGGAGGAAAAAGGCCTATAATTCCCCAGCCATAACGCCAGAGCCCTCGGCAGAGCTTCGGAGTGCCACCCACCAGGACTGCTGGTGATGCTCGTGTAAGAGAGAACGTTTGATGCCCAGCGACGAACAAACCCAAGTTGGCGTCGCACCGTGGCCTACGGGCCCTCAAAAGGCATCCAAGGGGAGGAATGAATTATTTTTCAAGCTAGGATGTGTGACGCGGTCACGCAAAGGCGTGCCCGCACATCCGATGCGCAGTTCTGTCCGCCGAAATGCTTCTGGGTTTGTGATGTTGGGTTTCAAAGGCGACATCCTGGCTTGAGCAGATTGGAGGGGGAAAAAAAGCATCAGAGAAACGTGGACACCTCAGACAAGGTCTGGTCTACATCCCAAGATGCAGCCTGGAACATTAGTTTGCTAGCGTAAGGCACTCTCTGCTTTTAGCGGTGTGTGTTTGTGTGTGTATGTGTTGTGTGTGTGTGTAAGAGCAGGGAGGGGGCCAAACTAGAAGTCAAAAATCATGCAAGTGAAACGAAAACGCCCTTCTGAAATGGCGGTCTCTCGCTGGGTCAGCCACAGCTCCTGATCCCCCCCCCCCACTGACTTCCACATCTTCTGTGACGGTCGCGTCAAGTCCGTCCAGCGTTCGTCCTCGACTTCTGACGGTCGTATTTGACAGACACGATGAGGAAAAGCAGCAGGGTGACGCCCTGGATCACTGCCAGGAGGAAAAAGTAGTAGTTTAAATGGCAACCGTTGATGTTACCTGCAAGGGAGACAAGAGGCGGAGTAAGCAGCTGACCAGGAAGCAGAAAAAAGTAAGGAGACAGGTTTTGTTGTCTAGGGATGGAGCCTGGGAAGTTAGAACACGTCCCAGAAGGAAAACGTTTAATTTAAGGCAAAGGTTGGGACTCATCTAAGGTGGGCAGATATGAAAAAAAAAGAAAGGAAAAGAGGAGGGGAGGAGGGGAGGAGAGGAAGAGAAAAGATGGAAGGGAAGGGAAGAGATGGAATGAAAGGGAAGGGAAGAAGAGAAGAGATGGAAGAGAAGAGAAGAGAAATGGAAGGGAAGGGAAGAGGAGAAGAGAAGGGAAGAAATGGAAGGGAAGAGAAGAGAAGAGATGGAAGGGAAGGGAAGAGAAGAGATGGAAGAGAAGAGATGGAAGGGAAGGGAAGAAATGGAAGGGAAGGGAAGAGGAGAAGAGAAGAGAAGGGAAGAGATGGAAGGGAAGGGAAGAGAAGAGATGGAAGAGAAGGGAAGAGAAGAGAAGAGATGGAAGGGAAGGGAAGAGAAGAGATGGAAGAGAAGGGAAGAGAAGAGATGGAAGGGAAGAGATGGAAGGGAAGGGAAGAGAAGAGATGGAAGAGAAGGGAAGAGAAGAGATGGAAGAGAAGAGATGGAAGGGAAGGGAAGAGAAGAGATGGAAGAGAAGAGATGGAAGGGAAGGGAAGAGATGGAAGAGAAGAGATGGAAGGGAAGGGAAGGGAAGAGATGGGAGGGAAGGGAAGAGAAGAGGAAGAGAAGAGAAGGGAGAGGAAGGAATGAAGGAAGAGAAGAGAATGGAAAGGAGAGGAAGGAAGAGGAAGAGAGGAAGGAAGGGAGGGAGGGAGGGAGGAAGGAAGAAAGGAAGGAGAAAAGAGCAGAATGCAGATATGATTTCCTGACATTGACAGCCAAATCAGACCCCTTCAGCCCAATCAAAACATACTAATTAAACATTTCCTTTGCTTACGAAATTACCTGAATTTTGTCAATTTGCCAGTCATATCTGTGTCAAGGTGAAGCCTCTTTTCTTTGCAAGCATTAATTCAATTAAACCCATTTTTAATCAGAGGCGAGAACCACAGCAAAGCTCTTCCACCTGACACCTAAAAACAGGATCTATATTTCCCCGGAAAAGCACAGGGGCTTAAAAAACTGCCTCCCCCCCCCCCTTTTACGGATCAAACTGCGCAGGCCATAAAAATCTTTTTCTCGCGCGCACAAGGCAGAACTAATTTTAATTGTTTCAGAGGAATGCTGGCTGGCAATTTCGGGGTCTTGCAGATCCGGTGAAGGAGAGGATTTCAGCCTGATCGATTCATCGGGAAAATAATTGCCCAGCCGAGCATTTGTAAGGCTCTTCTTGCTGAATCAGTTTCTTGCCTGATTTGAGAAGGTCCTGAGAACTTTTATGCCCCCCCCCCAAAAAATGTTCCCCGTTAGCTCATTTAGTGAAGTAGAGTGCTTCCATGCTACGTACTAAGTTGGGTCTTGCTCAGCTGGTTCCCCGAGATTTCAGAGGAGAATGTGTTTATGAGAGGGTTTTTTTTAAATTTACAATCCCCGTTCGCTAAAAATCAGAATCAGAATAGAGCTGGAAGGGAGCTGGGAGGTCTTCTAGTCCAGCCCCCCGCTCAAGCAGGAGATCCTATACTATTTCAGACAAGTGACTGTCCAGTCTCTTCTTAAAAATATCCCGGGATGGAGCACCCATGATTTCTGGAGGCAAGCTGTTCCACTGGTTAATTGTCCTCACTGTTAGGAAGTTTCTCCTTAATTCCAGGTTGCTTCTCTCTCTGGTCAGTTTCCAACCATTGTTTCTCGTCCTGCCCTTTGGTGCTTTGGAGAATAATTTAACCCCCTCTTCTTTGTGGCAGCCCCTCAAATATTGGAAGACTGCTATCATGTCCCCCCCCCCCAGTCCTTCTTTTCTCTAGACTAGCCATTCCCAAATCCTATTTCCAGAAGTTGTGAATGCTCCAGCACCGGAAGTTTTTAAGAAGAGACTGGACAGCCATTTGTCTGAAATGGTATAGGGTTTCCTGCCTGAGCAGGGGATTGGACTAGATGACCTCCAAGGTCCCTTCCATTATTATTATTAATATTATTGTTGTTATTAATCATCACACAGTCCGCCAGATGTTCAGACTGGATTTGGCATTTTTGTCTGCCTATCGAGTCCTTCCCAAGGACCTGGGATAGGCAGATGTGGATGTTTGATGGTATTACAGATCTCGTTGCAGGATGGAAGCAGTTCCTAGTAAGGCCGCCTTTTGCAATTGACTAATGGCAAATTTGTCAATGCCGATGGTGTTCAAGTGGTGCTCCAATTGCACCTATTACTATTATTATTATTATTATGAGACTGGACAGCCATTTGCTTGAAATGGTATAGGGTTTCCTGCCTGAGCAGGGGGTTGGACTAGATGACCTCCAAAGTCTCTTCCGAGTTTATTATTATTATTGTTGTTGTTCCTGTTGTTTTGTTGTTGCTGCTGCTGCTGTTGTTATTCATATAAAAGGTAAACTTGAATATGGTTTTCTGCCTGCATTTTTTTTTTTGTGGAAAAAAAAAATCCCAGGCAATAGAGATAACTGACCCAAATCCGTGTGATTACTCATCCAACCGATAGAGTTGAGAGACACCAACTCCAGGAGTCCGGAACCCACGAAAGAGCCAATTCCAGAAAAAAAGAAGAATAGACCCATGATTGCACTTTGCATGGATTTTGGAGCAGCGGAATAGGCAAATTCCAAACCTGGAACAAAAAAAGAGAAGACAGACAGACAGAAAAGGGTGAGTCCACGAGCTAACTTTGACAGAAAGATTCCTGTTTCTCTGCCTCTCTATTTCGTTGGGAGCGATAGCGCTAGGCGCAAAACCTAAGTTCCTCTCGGGACAAGGGTGAAGCAATGGATTTGCAGACCTTTATAATCTATTTGCCTTTGAACTCCTTTGCATCGCAGGTTTTATACTCTGCGTTAATGGTGCTCTCACCACTACAGAACAAGGACAGTTTTTGGCTTTTGTGCTGAAATTCCATTCAAAACGGGGCATTCTGACGTACCCAAAACTCGAAGCGCCATCACAAACTTTGTAGTTCTGTGCTCTCCAGAACTCTCTGGAAATTCTGCCACCTCGTGTCAGACGCGCAGCTACACTCCAAGGCATGGCCGGGTGAGCCGTGGATCCATTGATTGCTTCCAAAAATGAGGTCTCGCTGTTTTTTTTCAGATGAAGCCTCTTCAGAATTCAGAAAGAAGCAAAATCCTTAACTTTCTAAATCTGAATCGCCCTGGAGAAGAGAGGATAAAAACATGGCTCGTTCCCTACTGAAAGGAACGAAAGAACGAGGAACGGGTGAGTCTTGTTCTCAATCCAGAATTCAAAATCGAAAAAACAAAACAAAAAGCAAAGCCCGATTCCCATTTGCACTCCCACCAAGCCTTAGAGCAGTGGTTCTCAACCTGTGGGTCGGGACCCCATTTGGGGTCGAACGACCATTTCACGGGGGTCGCCAAACAACGCAGTCCGCCATTTTTTTCCCCTTTTCCTTAGCTGTGCTACTCCCTTTTATTCTATGGCTTTTGAAAGCCAATAGAATAGACTCTCTTGAATAGAGTCTAATTCTATTGGCTTTCAAAAGCCAATAGGAATTGTCCAGGCTGTCTCTGCCCTGCTGAGCCCGCCAAAAGTCCCCTTCTGCAAACAGTGCTGCACCAGTTGAGTAGTCCTCGACTTACGACCGGTTGAATAGTCCTCGACTTACGACCGGTTGGGGGTCGCGGCATTAAAAAGGTTTGAGAACCACTGCCTTAAAGGTTGCCTCTGGAGGCTTCTCGAGCAAGTGGCCAAATTGCCATTTCAAATGTGTCCAGAGGGGAAAAAAAGAAATAATTCAACATGAGGAGTGGGAAATAACGGAAGCCGGCGTATTGAATTTTAATCAAGCCTAAAGACCAGCAATGCCATCGTTCTTGTGTACCGCTCACATTTTAGAATCAGCAACACAGAGGGAGACATACACACACACACACACACACACACACACACACACACACACACACATGACACTCCAGTGTGCACATTCCTCGTCTAGGGGAGATGGTCTTTTTTGCAGATTGGATGTTTATTTATCTGCACCCC